AGAGCTCTTGCTCAGCATTAATTTGACAAGAAACAATCCATCTGAGAAAGCAGACATATGGAATGACATGTAAATGAAGTTTTGAGGGAGATAATATAATAAGAGGATTAATTCAGCGTGGGCTAAGAGGTTAGGCAGATTTGACAGCATCATGCGAATAGGGCCAGTGAGATCATTTAAGTTATTTGTTTTCAATGGCAGTCAGAGCTCTCTTTCTATAAAGGTTCAGGGACCCAATTCAGAAGATTTTCTCCTGCCTTTCCTTGCAAATTCCCCAAGGTAAAACCTTTTGCAAGCTTTCCACTTAATTCGGTTCTGTGTGTTTTGTTAAACTTGATAACACTCAAAACATTTCTCACATTCCTTCATAATGGAATGGGCATATACCTGCCTCAATCCAGCCTCCTGCTCTCACATTGACCCTGCCATCAGGACCGATTTCACCAAGGCCATCATTATTCTTGCCATGTTATGGTTGAAGGATATGTCAATAGGATTACATAAAGTAAGGTAAAGCAGAGGCTCATATTCGAGCAGAAACACTGGATGGATCAGCTGGACCATGTAGAAACATAGAAAATAGGAACAGGATTCAGCCCTTCATGTCTGCTGTGCCATTCAAAATGTTCGTGGCTGATTATCCAACTCAGGACCCTGTTCCTGCTTTCTCCCTATAACCCTTGATCCCTTTAGCCCTAAGAACTATGTCTAACTCCTCCTTGAATATAGTGTTTTGGTCTCGACTGTTTTCTGTGGCAGGGGATTCCACAGTCTCGCCACTCTTTGCGTGAAGAAATTTCTCATCACCTCATTACTAAATAGCCATTCACCTATCCTTAGAGTGTGACCTCTGCCTCTGTACTCTCCAGTCATCAGGAACATCCTTCCTCCCTTTTCTGATGAAGGGTCTAGGCCCGAAACGTCAGCCTCTCTGCTCCTATGATGCTGCTTGGCCTGCTGTGTTCATCCAGCCCTGCACCTTGTTGTCTCGGATTCTCCAGCATCTGCAGTTCCTACTATCTCTCATCCTTCCTCCCTGCCTGGTTTCTCTTCTATTCATTGTAGTTCAGTTTTATAAGGATGGGAACACACTTTTGGTTTCACTTTCTTGCCTGTTTTACTGTCCCAGTGCCTTAAAATCTGTTCAAAACTCTATGTTTTTTCTGAAGCAGCAGCAAGAGTGAGATTTGAATGCACGCATGTAGAACGCAATGAATTAGCACTCCATTGCTTTAACATCTTGGCCGTATGTTTCTGTTAGAGTAGAAGGCTAGGCTGGCAAGAGTAGGCAACAATGGATGAATAAAGATATGGAGGTTCTGGTGAAAAATAAGAAAGAGTCATATATTAGATATAGACAGTGGGATCATGGCATCTCTTGAAGAGTATTAGCAGTGTAGGGCATTCTTAAGAGGAAATCAGAAAGGGATAGGAGATAGCCTTGGCAGATGAGGCTAAGGATAATCCAAAAAGACTCTACATGTACATTAAGAGCAAAAGAGCAACTAATGAGAGAATAGGGCCCCTTAAAGATCAATAAGTTTGTCTATGTGTTGAACCTCAAGAGATGGAAGAGATACTAAATGAATATTTTGTGTCAGTTTTTACTGTGGATAAAGAAATAGAGGCCAGAGATGTCAGGGAAATAAACATTGATGTTTTGTAAACAGTTCACATTACTGAAGAGGAAGTGATGAGGCCTTAGAAAATATAAAGGTGGGTAAATCTCCAGGACCTGATCTAGTGTATCACAGGACATTGTGGGAAGTTATGGAAGAAGTTGCAGGATATTTGTACCACTCTGTGTATAAAAGCTACCCCTCGTGTCCTTTTTAAACCTTTCTCCTCTCATCTTAATAATATGCTCCCTGGTTTTGAACGCCTCCACTCTAGGGAAAGGACTCTTGCTATGCCCCTCATGATTTTGGAAACATCTTTAAGATCACCCCTCAACCTCCTACGCTCCTGTGAATATTTGTATCGTCTACACCCACTGGTGAGGTGCCAGAGGACGGGAGGGTGGCTGTTGTGCCTTTATTTACGAGATGCTGTAAGGAGAAGCCTGGGAACTATAGACCCGTGAGTCTGATATCGGTGGTGAGTGGGTTGTTGGGGGTGATTCTGAAAGATTGGATTTACATGCATTTGGAGAGGCAAGGACTGATTAAAAATCATCAGCATGGCATTGTGCGAGGGAAATCGTGTCTCATGAACTTGATTGAGTTTTTTGAGGAAGTAACCAAAAAGATTGATGAGGGCAGAGCAGTAGACATTGTTTATATGGACTTTAGTAAAGTCTTTGACAAGATTCCGCAAGGCAGACTGATTACTAATGTTAGATAACATGGGTTTAAGATAACGTTTGCCAATTGGTTACCAAATTGGCTTTACGGTAGGAGACAGGGTGGTGGTGGAGGGTTGTTTTTCGGACTGGAGGCCAGTGACCAATGGTGTTCCACACGGATTGGTGCTGGGTCCAGTTTTGTTTGTCACTTATATAAATGATTTGGATGAGAACTTAGGAAGCCTACTGTGTACACTTCTGGTCACCCTGCTATGGGAAAGATATTATTAAATTGGAAAGGGTTCAGAAAAGATTTACCAGGATGTTGCCGGGAATGGAGGGTTTGAATTATAAAGATAGGCTGGGATTCTTTTCACAGGAGTGCAGGGGGTTGAGGGGTGATCTTAAAGATGTTTACAAAATCATGAGGGGCAGAGAAAGAGTCTTTTCCCTGGGGTGGAGGAGTTCAAGACTAGGGAGCATTTATTAAGCTGAGAGGAGAAAGATTTAAAAAGGACAAGAGGGGTAGCTTTTTAACAGAGTAGTTCGTATGTGGATTGAACAACCAGAGGAAGTAGTGGATGCGGGCGCAGTCACAATGTTTAAAAGACATGTGGATAAGAATATGAATAGGAAAAGTTTGGATTGAAATGGGCCGAGTGCAGGCAGGTAGTGCTGGTTTAGTTTGAAAATATGGTCGGCATGGTCTAGTTGGACCGATGGGTCTGTTTCCATGCTGTCTGATCTACAACTATGACTCTATAACTCTTGGGGTGTCAAGTATCAGATCAAATGTGGCCATAAGCTGCCCATGGGTGAAAAACTCACTGACACTGATGGAGCGCTTTGCTGCTACAGTGCTGCCTGATGTTGTGGGCCCTGTCTGTTGATTCTGTATCTTGACCATGCCTATCATCGTATTTTCCTGCCTGCCTGCCATCAACCACCCGTTACTTTCAATAGACAGGGGCTGCACAATTGCACAGCTGGTTCAGTAAAAGCAGCAAGGTACTGGGAGTTTGCTGCTGAGTGTGGTCCCATAGACCAGCTTTCAGGAGGAGTGGGAGGTAAACCCGCAGCAAACTGGATTCATTACAAAGGAAAATGCTTGCAAGCAGAGAGATACCTTTTTGCAGAGTTAGAAGTTGAGTTACGCTGAGTTATTTAGATTGCATAAGGTGAAGCTAGAAGTATACTTCAGCTCATCACGAACGTTCGAATCCTCACATACATTTCTAAAAAAATTACAAACAAGGAAAGGATGCCGACCCCATGCACATATCCTGGATTCATGGAACCAATACAATACAGAAGAGGCGCTTTGGTCCATTGAGTCTGTACTGCTGAAGTTGTACTAAATCTGCATTGGTTCCACTTTCCTGCAATAGGGCCATAGCCTTGAATGTTATGACACTTCAAATGCTTGTCTAGTTACTTTTTAAAGGTTGTGCCATGTCCTGCCTCAACTACCTACCTAGGCAGTGCATTCCAGACCCCGGCCGGGTTTTTTTAAAAGGTTCTAGCAGGAAAACAGCCCCTTGTCAAGGTATTTCATCTCCAAGTATCTTTGTTTTTCTGTCTCGTTTTCACTCCCTTAAGATACAGCTTCGAATTGCCTTATTGGCCAAGTGTTTGGTCACTTGTCCCCTCTTTGGCTTGGTGTCAGTAGTTTTACGACATGGAAGGCACTATAAAATAATTTTGGGTGCACCACATCAAATTTACAGTCACTCCACGGGTTGGAATCTCAACAGCAAGGGAACAAGACAGACTGGTTGTTATGTGGCAGAATATAATTTATCCCACTGTCTGTCTTCTGTCCAATAAACTTGCCCTAGTAGAATAATGAAAGTAGGGGGCTTCTTTTAATAGAATGACCTTGCATTTATTCAGCACCTTTCACATCTCCAGGACCACATTTTACAATCAATGAAGTATTTATGAAGTGGAGAACACCCCTACTAGCTATGGTGCACAATTGATCCCTCATGTTTCATTATAATTATACTTCACTCTAATACGTGTCTCTGTATAATTTAGTTCAACTCAGCATGTAACTGTGGAAGCAATGGGACAGAAATCTGAACCATCCCATTTGAATCAGGCCAGCCTGCAGTGAATTGTCGCTGGGTTTCTCTGGCCGGCTCATTCGCCATCGTGGTCTTGCCAAGGGCTGAGTCAAGTTACAGTCAATCAACACATCGTGGGTTGAGGAGCTTTCTGGAGAGCCTCGTTGTGTGTTGAACGTTCAATTGTGGAGATTGTTTGTTTGTAAAAAGGTTGCAGTAATGTTAATAATAGTGACCAATGAACAATTTACACGTTAGTTGAAGTAAAATAACTTTTACACATTTTCGGCCAGATCAACTCAAGGAATGCCAAGTCAAGGTGACCATCAGGTCAGAACCCAGTCTGGGTTTAATGTTTGATTGTTACATTTGGACACACATCTCAAATAGCTCAAGTCAAAATCCTGTAAAAAGAATCATGATCTGAGTTTATCGTAAAACTACTGCGCTGTGTCCATCAAAAGTACAGGAAAAGACAATTAATCGAATTACGATCAGTATGACTTACTTGATATGAAAAGGCAGATTGACAAATAACAGAAGCCTACTTCAATCCTCAGTGTAATTCACAAGATCTGGCTGAAGAAGACTTTGTCAAATTCTTGCAAACTCTTAAAAAGTACAAGACTCTATCTATCCTCACCCACCTTTAATTCTGAAAATCAAATACCATACAGGAGCAACCAGTAAGAATTTTGCACTGCAGTGTTTTCTTCAGCAACCTGACCTATACTGCCCAGGACTGCCTGCTGCTATTGTACAGGCTTCTTCCATCTCTGTTGCTTTGAATAATGAATTACGTCTTCAGTGAGGTTTGTAAGCTGAGCCCAGTGGACAACAGATCAAAGAATTAACCATCAGTCTTGTTAGGGTAAAGCTCCAAGTGTGTAGAGCAGCAGCCGGAGAGATCTCTGGAATTGAAAGAGCTGTCAAGCATTTGCATGAGAAATCCAAAGCAGAGCATTTCCTGCTCACTGAGCTTCCCTTCTTCTCCTTGTTTAACTTGGTTGCTAAGCAGCGTGGGCCTATGAGCCTTGCTGATAATTAGCATAGCGTTTAACCTTAGTAGCAAACAACACTTAGTTTCAAGATATATAACCATTTTGTGAAGATCCTGTTGCCTTTCAGCCTGCCTCTGAAATCTTAAAGACAGAACCTCAAGTTTACTTTGTAAACACTACTGATATATTATTTGTAGAATGTTAATCTTAAGCTATTGCTTGACCAGCACAATCATTAAAGTAAAATCAGGGCCTAGGCTTTTCAATCATACTGTGCAGTTTAATTCAAGTTGGGAAGCAAATAAGAATTTAAAATAGCCACATATTTGAATCTTTGTGACAATAAAGCTACATGTAGGATGAGTTTTTTAATTGGAACAAAAGGATGGTGTGAAACTTGACAGGCTTCAGAAAAGATTTACAAGGACGTTGCCAGAGTTGGACAGTTTGAGCTATAGGGAGAGGCCGAATAGGCTGGGGCTATTTCCTCCAGAGCTTTGGAGGCTGAGGGGTGACCTTTACAGAGGTTTATAAAATCATGCGTGGCATGAATAGGGTGAATAGCCATGGTCTCTTCCCCAGGGAAGGGGAGTCCAAAACTAAAGGACATAGATTTAAGATGAGAGGGAAACGATGTAAAAGGGACCTAATGGGCACCTTTATCACACAGAGGGTGGTGCATGTATGGAATGAGCTGCCAGAGGAAGTAGTGGAGGCTGGTACAGTTACATTTAAAAGGCATCTGGATGGGTACATGAATAGGAAGGGTTTAGAGGGATATGGGCCAAATGCTGGCAAATGGGACTGGATTAATTTAAGATATCTGGCCGGCATAGACAAGTTGGACCGAAGGGTCTGTTTCTGTGTCGTACATCTCTATGACTCTATGACTCTTATCTGTGATGTCCTTTGCTGGGATTTGTTCTTCTCACAAAGCATTGCTACAGGAACATAATTACATTCTTTAGCTTTTGTGTGTTTTCTTAACTCTCTCAAAAAAAGTGCCTTGCTGGCTGAGGTCACCAATTAACCCTAACTATAGATTGCACCTGAAAATAAAAATCAAAAGATTTGGACGTTGTAAAGGGGAAGGAGGAAGGGAGAGAGGATGCTGGGATTTGTTCATTGTGGTTGGCAGTGTCCTATCTGCAGATTTGGCTAGAGGGAATTTTCTAATACGCAGGGTTAGGATCAGCTGGGTATGACTTAGCCAACTCCTCTATGATGTGCAGTCTGCAGGGATACTGTCGCTCAGCTACAAACGTAGGTGAATGCATCTCTCGACTAATTGAAGTTTGAAGCCAATAGTGGATATGTCCAGCTTTGTCTGCAACATTTGTTGCTTTAAAGCTTTTGAGCCCAGAGGTTTTGGAAAAGGCTGCTCTCACGCCCTTGAGAACAAAGGCCTAACTCAACAGTTCTGAGAGAATCCTGAAACATGCAAATTCTTGGGATCCTGGCAGAATTTAACTTGATTGTGTTCCTCGATAGAACCAGGAAGACAAAGCATGAGCCCTGATGTTTCTCCTGTTTCTGGGCTATTATTCCTCCCAACCCAATCTCACCCTCCATTTAATCTTCCCCTTCACATTCTTCAGAATTGGGAACAAGCGTCAGAATACTCTCCCCAAATACCAACTGTTAATCCAGGGACCCAGGTAACCTTCTCGGGATCTGGGTTCAAATCCCACCATGGAATTTGAATTCAAGAAATATCTGGAATTAAGAGTCTAATGATGATTGTGAATCTATTGCCAATTGTTGAAAAAACCCATCTGGTTCACTAATGTCCTTTAGGGAGGGAAACTGCCATCCTTACCTGGTCTGGCCTACATGTGACCCCAGACCCACAGCAATGTGGTTGAGTCTTAACTGCCCTCTGGGTAATTAGGCAATAAAATGCTGATCTAGCCAGCAACACCCTCACTCTATGAATGAATTTAAAAAACTCAAGGTCTCTTATTGATACTTTCTTGGGGGCTACTTTTAATCTTTGCGAGCTACTATTTAATTCTCACTGATTAATTTACAACAGGATCTTCTGTATTCATGTTTACGCATGGGGTATTTGGACTGTCAAAGAAGCAGAACTGGAAAAAATTGTCAATATCTTTAATAATTAGCAACTCTGCATTAAATTTGAATCCACAACACACAATTAGAGCTTTCATTTCTTTGATCCTATAGTAGTTAAATGGCACAACAGGTATAATTTAGCATCAGAAGTTATTTTTCAAAGTAACTCTCATGCCCTTATGCCTTCCACAGACTGAAGAGGTCATAGCTCATGCTTTCTCATCACAAATGCATAAAACTGGTAAATTTTATCCAGGCTTTTCATTGTATCTCAGATCTCCCCCTCAGATTTAAACTTAGTACTTGTCACAGTATTGATTACAATAACGCCCATTATGTTTATTTCCCTCATGCAGTACTTCCTGAATGCTGCCTTAAGTTTGAGATTCCACATTGATTTGCAAGGTGATTTCCAGTTTTTCAGACTACCGGGTAGCTGAATATTCCTTTGTTGAAGCTTTGAAACAGTTCTATCTGTTTTGTAGCCTCCCTCTCCCCTCACCCCATCTTGCAACCACCCTCCCTCTCCCTTGGCCTTTTGTAACCTCCCTCCTTCTCTTTATCCCCTTCTAGCCTTCTCTCTCTCTCTGTCTCTGTCTCTCTCTCTCTCATGGTCACCTTGCAAGTGCTCTCTCTCTCTTCCCTCTACCTTACTGTCTCTTCCCTCTACCTTACTATCACTTGCCCCTGCACATTGTAATCACCTTGCCTCTTCCAACTCCTTTCCTCTGTCTCCCAGCCTTGCAGCCTCCCTCTTTCTCTTCCCCCATCCCCACCCCTTGAAAATTCTTTTCTTCCTAAACCCCCACCTCCTGGAGCCTGCCTCCGTTTCTCCCTTCTGCCCTTTTTCCACAGTCTCGCCCCTCTCTTGTTTCACCTGCCTGTTCCTCTCGCTCTCTCGCTCTCTCGCTCTCTCGCTCTCTCGCTCTCTCGC